CATCCATCCATCCATCCATCCATCCATCCATCCATCCATCCATCCATCCATCCATCCATCCATCCATCCAGATTTCTCCCTTTCTCTATATAGGCTATCATTTGATCGTTCACGCTCTCCATAGTTCTCCTGTGGCGTGACCACAGGGCGACTGTTGCACGCCTTTAGCGAGCATGCGCATTTCTTGTCGCTTGCGCTGTGAATCGTGCTGCTTGCGCTGTGCGGAGATGCAGGGGAAACCATATGTGATGGGGAAACGCAGCTCGACGTAACACTGGTATTTCCATCAGGAAAACGCTGTTTTGCTGCTGGAGTCCTCCTCACTCTCCATCTCTCTGTGTGTGCTGTACGTTAACACCCACCAGTGGAACACCCACCTACCCAACTGACAGACGGAATCTCACTATACATCAGCCATTCTCATCCTCCCCTCTCTCATTACAAGGCGCGCACGAGTCCTAACATGAAAAAAAGGTTCATTGTGCAATCTGAGTAGCGTGCAGTAACGGGGTGTCTGCAATGGTAACTGCGTTATAGTTACAGTCAAAGTAATTAGTTAGATTACCTCGTTACTAAAACAAGGTAACGCCGTTAGTAACGCCGTTACTTTCAACGCCGTTAGTCCCATCACTGTCAGTAGCTAATATTTTCTGATCCATAATACTCAAATCATGATCAAAATGTTAAAACTTATTAATGCAATAAAACACTGCTGGTGATGGGAATGAATGATTGCTAACTCCTGAGAGCAGAGAATCTGGTTGGACACTCGGAAATGTAGTCTTTATATAACAAAAACAAGCTGAGCAGACAGCATGTACGGACGTCAACACACCGCACCAGTCGATCTGATTTAACAAACTGAAACAACTCTGTTTACATTCGATGAATATTGAGCAGCACTGGTGGTAGGGACTCAGAGGGAAAATAGTGCAAAACAATAAAGCACAGTTATTATGCCCTGACTTTCTTAAATGTTGCTTTCCATTGTTTACTTTCTTGATTTCTATCACACTGGTGACACAATCAATGCATACCCAGCGTTATGGTGTCACCAGACACGCAGTCGTGGTGGGTCAAAGGCCCGCAGCTTGCCAGCGAGGGGTTAGCAGTTCGACCCATGTTTCTATGGGTAGTTATGCTGCTATAGGGTTAGATTTCTGGAGGACATAGGAACTTCCATTTCATCATTCTGCTTTATTCTGTCTCTTTTCTCCCACTCTGCAGAATCTGTTAGTTCAATCTCTAACGTTATGCTCTGTGCTTTCTCTCATAGTGACTTTGCCTCGGCTGTTTCTGGCTGGATGTGACACCATCCTGGAGAGAAATATCAGCTGTGCTGCTGCCATCAACACCCTTGTTTATAGATGTTGGAGATCGGCCTGTTTTCCAGTGTAGTCCTGTTTCTTTGACTGTGACTGCCAGGATGTGCTCTCTTCATCCTCGGACATGGAAGCTGGCTCGGAGCTTGTCTGCCTGGCTGTGTCTTTCCTGGATGGGGCCGCCTTTTATAGTTGCTTTTTGTATCTCTGCTTCTGCTTCCTTAAACCCCAGACGGCCTCGGCAGATGACCGCTCACACTGAGCCTGGTTCTGCTGGAGGTTTCTTCCTGTTAAAAGGGAGTTTTTCCTCTCCACTGTCGCTACAAGCATGCTTAGTGTGAGGGATTGCATTCGAGTCAATGAGTCAATGCAATCAACTGGTTTTCCTTAGATAGAAAACTCTGAATCAATTTGACTGTATGATCTGGTTGAACTGTAAAGTGCCTTGAGATGGCATGTGTTGTGAATTGGCACTATATAAATAAACTGAATTGAAATTGAATTGAATTAAAACCCAGGTTAACCCGCCAATTTCAGTGGGAAAGACTCTAAAGATAGTTCTATTAAGTAGCATTATTGGCCTCCATTTGCAGCTTCCTGGTAGCTCAGCAGTACTGCCAGTAGATGGCCAAGTCCGTTTACATCAGCTCATTGCACCTGGTGCTGAGATTCCATTTAGGCTTAAAAAGGATGATTAAAACACTACAAGGATGGACACATGGAGTCTTATAGTATCAACTGGATAATGGTATTTTTGGTAGAGGCATATGTAATGTGACTATAGACACTTGTGATTTATAGGCACCAAATTTACAAATTTTCTGTAAACAGTACATCATTCAAGTGTATTTTTAGTAGTTGTATGTAATAGAAAAGTTTCTACTTACCGTTCCTGAGTTTAGGTACTTCTTTTTCTTCTTCCCTTTCTTTTTTGGATTAAGCACCTGTGGAGATATAAGCTTGTTTTAAAAGCCTAAAAACATGTTGAATAGTTGAGCCTCAAATGATTTTGTTGCAGTCAAAGTTGGAGTGACTCCTGGCCTTTCTAGTTTTAATTAACCCAGACTATGCAGCAAGCCTGAAATAAACCTTTTTAATAAGTATTTTAATAGACACATTAAAGACTGAGTAATTAGTGTAATTATTTTGGTCATTTTCTTTTTTCTGTACAAAAACTTTTTTTCCACAGGCTTCAGAATGCTGCTCCAAAAAGAACACAGATAATAATAATATGAAGGCGGCTAAAAGAAATGATTAAAGTAAACATATTTAACAGCATCTGTATTTTCACAGAGATAAAAATAAAAACAGGGTTGGTCATGGTGAAAAAAAGACGTTTATGATAACATATAATATCCAACATGGATAAAAGAAGCCCCATTCTTCTGTCTCTATACTAAAATGATTGAGGTTGTTTTTTTACCTAAGCAGCTTTACTGAGTTTTAGTCTCCAGAGATTTATGCGTTAGCAGAGCTGATAGAAAAGTGAGGGAAGAGGAAATATCAGGAAACCGACTATGGTGATTCAGCAGATCATTACAAGGGAATAAAGAAATTGCCTTTCTATTGCCGAGACCCACTCTTTAAACTGATACTATTAGAGGACAAAGAATGCATCTTTTCTATATAAATACAAAATATTCAAGGCTGGTTTTCTCACAATTTTAGCAAACCAACAGATTTGTTATGGTTATCCATCTATTTTTAGAAATTTTATTGATACCTGATTATAAAATTAAATACAACGTTTTGTGTCTATTCTACAGAAATAGTAACCTGACAACAGCCAGATGCATGTCTCGCTCCGCCTAGCTCCACTCACATGCATCTGGGAAACCGCCATAGGAATTGCCTTTACTGAAGGCTGGGCCTTATCAAAACTCCTTGCATATGATTGGATAAGCCACTTGTCTGTCATCTTTATCAACGGGCTATTTCAACCACTCACACCGAAGCTAACCCGTGACGCTGTGAGAGCAACAGTCGAATCAGCGCAATGTCGGTAAATGATCAATGTCGTTTGTGCCATGAAAATGTGCGGATAAAAGGCAACATTGTGCACAGCAGACTTATTTTAAAAAAAGAAGCCAACCAAAGAAGTATAGACGAACGACTTACAGAACTCGCTTCTCCACTACGTCACATGCAGGACACACCCGCCCTGCGTCCTGATTGGCCAGACCATAAATTCGGTTGGGGAAATCACTTTCAATGAGTGGTTTCCCAGATGTATGTGAGTGGAGCTAGGCGGAGCGAGACATGCATCTGGCTGTTGTCAGGTTACAGAAATAGACCACGAGTAGGCAAATATGACAAAAATCACTTCATGCTGTAATGGACATGGTTTCCGAGAAGCATTTCAAAATAATATGATGCTCAGTTTATTTCCTTTCTTCAATAATTGATCCAGTCCATTTAGCCGATTCAGTAACTGAATCTGAGTTTCTATTCCAGGTGAAAAACTTGCAGTTCGCTACCTCCAGGTCCTATGTAGAGCCAGCCTTGTGCTGCCTGACAGCATTTACTTCTGCTCCTCTCTGTCTGACAGAGCTGAGACTCCCTCCTTGCCTCAAACTGCCGTTACCCCACCGTTCAAGGATGAAGTGCAAGCTCAGAAGGGACCATGGTTTATTCTGTGGCAGTTCCCAAGCTATGGAATGATCTTCCTTTAGCCATAAGACAGGCCTCTTCACTCGCTGTTTTTAAGTCTCTTCTTAAGACCCATATTTTCTTTTTGGCTTTTAGCATAATCTCAGATGTTTCACTCTGTTTTAGTGTGTTTGTATATGAGTTAGTGTTGCACCGATACCAGTATAGGGAAATGCCCCCATCCAGCTCTAAAATGGTGGTATTGGTATCCAGTGTTGGGAAAGTTCTCTTTCTACGTGAACTAGTTCAAAGTTCAGTTCACACATTTTAAAATGAACTAGTTCAGTTCATAGTTCATAATTCAAAACCAAAAAATGAACTAGTTCATAGTTCTTTTTTTTTCATATATTGCTCAATTACACCATAGCCTACTGTAGAACCACAGACAGCAATTATTTTATCAGTTGTAACACTGAAACTGTGCGTCAGATTTCATCTTCATATCCAGTTTTGAATCCTTATCCAACCAGGGTTTACATTAGCATTGAGGGGACAGATTTCCCCATTGTTGCTTTAACGCTTTGTTGCTGTCCATTCACTTCACACTAGTAGCAGCTGCAGCTTTCACCCCTACAGTATATTCTCAAAAACATCAGGAAAAATGTGCTGCTTGAATGGTCTTTTTTATGAGTAATTATTAAAAGAAAAATAGGAAAGTAGTCTTTAAGGTGCAAATGTTTTTTTTTATTTTAATAATTTTTTCCATTTGAAATTCCATTTCAATACATACTAAAAAGGAATACTGGAATCCTGGAAAATTATACCAGGCAGGTTTAACAAACAAGTTACATGGATAGTAAAACCCTCAAGAACAGGGGTCTTCTATGTTTTCCAGACCAAGGACCCCCAAACTGATGGCGAGATGGAGCGGGGACCCCCTAACTATATATATTGTATGAAATTGTGTCCTATAGTCACTCTATTACAGATAGAGTAATGTAAAGAAATTAATTTCTCCCTGGGATTATTAAAGTTTTTCTGATTCTGATTCCTGGTTGTTGTGAAGGAAACGGTGCCCAGCTTGAAAGAGCTCCTGTGTGTCGCTGAATGTGTGCATTGATGACTGAAAGACATCTTTTGTCTCCATTTATCTGTTTACTACAGTGTGTTGATTTCATGTTAATGAGTATTTAAAGACATTTCAATTAGTGGGGAAAAAAATTGCAGGGGGGGGAATATAAAAATATCAACTAACCATGCAGACCCTCATGCAGTACCTCCGTAGACCCCCTAGGGGTCGCGGATCCCCCGTTGAAGACCTCCGCTCAAGAAGATTTTACTAACACAAACTGAGGGACCAGGCTGAGGTAGGAATTTAAGGTTACTGAAGTGCGGATTTTTTTACTGAAAGCCGGCGGGCAAACTTGTTGCCATCATCCTCACCGACAACCTGGTCATAAAACTGTTTTAAGTGATCATACTGCTGCTTTGTCGCCTCCATGCTGCTGTGGCTTCACGCTGCATTTTTGTTTTGATGACGCACGCGGCTGTAGGCTACGACGCTGGTAGCTGGTGTTGCCAGATTGGGTGTTTTTCCCGCTACATATTAAGGCCTGTTTACGGTTTGATTTAGCCGGGGTTTCCCCTGGAGGGCTCTATAGAAATCTGGCAACCTATTGAACGGAGCTGAACTGAGAGAGCGTGCCGTTCACAGACACCAGAATGAACGAGTTCACAATAACGTTCATCAGGCAGCAATGCAGTACGTTCAATTCACGTTCGCCCAAAATATGAACGAGTTCATGAACTTTCGTTCAATGAACGCGTTCAGGCACAACACTGTTGGTATCGGTGAGTACCAACAAAAAGGCACCGATACCATTTTGAGAGACAAAAGTTTATTCAACTATTGTCACCCATTCCAGGTAGGCAATAAAAAGTTCTACTGGATTCACTTTGTATTAGTCTTTTTTCTGCTTCACAAAGGTAGGCAGGGGTATATAAAGTGCTTCATAAATTAAGTTGGTGTGGTATGGTATTGCACTATGAATCTTTAGTAAATGGAAGAAGTATAGAAGCACCAAGACCTGTATGCTGCAAATAAAAGCCAGTTTTCCAAAAGGCGCCTAAAGGACTCGCAAACCATGAAAGACATTATTCCCTGGTATGATGAGACAAAAATGTAACTCTTTGGTGTGAATGCCATGAATGTCGTCATGAACCAAAGATGACAGATACATCTACTGTATACAGACAGGTTAGGTTAACTTCACTGTGGCCTACCAATTCAATGCAGTGTGGCTCTAATAAAGTCAATCAAAAAATTAGGATTACATCTTAAATTTTCCTTTATGAATAAATATAGTCTGTCTATTCCTGAAATGCCTCAGCAGGACTCATCAAAGAAAGAAACAAAACAATGATAGCAGTTAGTAATGTAATTGAATGCCTATTTTTCACTATTCAAAACAATGTTTGCATTGAGCTAGAGGCATTTACAAGGTTTGCAAAGGGTGATGTACTGCTAAAAATGATGTGTGGCAGTTCCTTCAGTGAATAATAACTGGTACACCCCCATGGAGACCAATAAACTAAACAGAAACCAAAAGAATACCTAAAATAAACTCAAAGCCACAAAAGTCGGACCACAACCCTAACTCAGTGAAAACAAAGCATTCCCAAATATGGAATAAACACAGCATTTGAATAATCATGAATCAGATTACTGTCTCCTTTGGATTTTCTTCTTTATAGTATTTGCAATTTTTTCTTTTTTCTTAACTATTCTGCTACACATAATGGCTGTAATATAGTGAATTTTCAGAGGGGAAAAGGAGGACGATAAAAGCAAAGTCAATTGGGCTTCTCCAGCTTTTATGCTGCTAATTAGTTAAATAATGGCTGGTATATTTTTTCTTGTCAGCACAAGCAAAGCCAAACTTTAAAGAGAGTTTTATCTTTAAACTTTCCCTAATTAAACACTTTCAATCTGACAAAAAGTGCAGAATAAGTCTGGAAAGGTAATAGATTCCACCTGCTCGCCATGAGGAAGACCATAAATATTTTTTGCAAACCATGAACAAAATGTGACTCAGATAGAGCGTATCCCTGGACACACTTATAAAATAGATGACCATAGCTTTTACAAAAGATGGATTAAACAGTAGGGTTAGTAGCAAACTCTGTTACAATATCTAAAAGAGACATGGCCAGGTGAAAATAAGGAAATGCCGATTTTATTGGAGGCCGCACCTCTCAATTAGAATTTTCTCCATCAGAACGGGCTTTTTTTAAAAAGGGGAGGGCTCATTACTCTGTTTAATGATTCACTGAGGTGAATCTTTTGAGTATCTGGCTATCCAAGTACAGGGCCCTCTGTTTGTGAATGTTTACAGGCTTCCAAAGTCCAAAACAAATGTTTTTTATTGATTTCAATGACAGATATTGAACACGACTACTTAATTATTGTGGGAGACTTTAATGTATATGTTGACAACCCTGAAGACAAAGGTGCAAAAGAACTATGTGACACATGAAAGTTTGGGTTCTAACATGTTAAATAGCCAACACACAATCAAGGACATATTTTCGACCTGGTCATCAGCAAAGGTCTAAATATTTTGAATGCTTCTGTAACTGATGTTGCCTCATCATATTATTTATTTGTTTACTTTGAAACCATTTTCCTAACTGATCTAATTAGCAAAAATTTTATAAGACAGGACAATTAATAACTTTACCCTCCTGCTTTCACTTTACCCTGATTCTCAGTTGGTGAGGTGGTTGAAGGTTTACATTCTAAAGAATACTTGATTCCATTGCTCCAGATAAAGTGAAGGTTAAATCCCCATGGAGAAACACTCAGTGAGAAAAGAAAAGATGGAACGCCGAAAAGCAGAATCAAGGAGGTGAGTCCAAGTCCACTATGAAATCTATAAAGAGAAGCTTCACTGATGTCATTTACAACTAAAAGATGCAAGAGAATCTTTCTTCACTGAGATTATCAACTAAAACATCGACAATGTTTGCTCCTTATTTGCTACAGTCAACAGTTAACAAGCCCTCATACATCTGTGGCAGATGAACTCCACACTAAAAAGCCATGCAATTTCTTTGCAAAGAGGTATTAGAAAAGCAGTCTGCACATCAAAGGCCAACTACAGAACGAATGCTGTCTCCAGTTAGAATAAACTGTTAAAATGTCCCAATTCTGCAACTATCTGCACAGTGCAGTAAAAGTACTCCTGTAAAGACATTTAGTTAAGAAAATGTAACTAGATATCCACCTCTGAATGCTGCTGTGGTATTGTCTGCTTGTATTAATATAACATTTCACACAAAGAGGTCTCAGATTAACTGAAAAAACGCCACACATCTGTGAGTACGGATCAGCCGAACACTTTGGTGAGTGTCGAGCTTTCCTAACAGTACATGTAGAGAGTTTATTGGTGTGTGGAGCTGATGAATTGTGTATTTTTATTGTAATAAAGTGTTAAATAAGTGCTTCCCAGCCTTTTGTTGTGTCTAATTAAAATTTGGAGTTTGGGGTCATACAGCACCATGGGACTAGGGTAATGAATTCAGACATATATGACAGTTAAAGTCCGTGTGTGTAGTATTGCACCTCATAGACGTGGAACTGCGACTGGCTTCTGCACATTTCTCTGTAGCTGGTGCTGAACTCGCCAATGAAGTCATGGCTGTAAAAAAGAAGAAAAAAAAAGAAATATGTTTACATTGCAAAGTGTTTTAAGAGGATAAATTATAGAAGATGCAGGATCCCAGAAAGATTAGTTTCCTAATTCCATGGATGTAATAAAGGCTATTTAAATGAGGATTGCCGCAGCTCAGTTAAACAGGCCCAAACTAATATCAGATACTGTTTGCAGTTAACATCAAAAACCCAAAAGATTTCCCTATGTCGGAATAACTGGTCATTTCTGACTCTGCTTCACATGAATACGTTGTCCCTATCCAACATGTGCAGTTATTTGCACCTCTGATGAAGATTTATACAGAAGTCTTAAAATAAACGGTTGTTATGGAGACATGTTCACATACCACGTTTTGTTTAAGTTCTCTAAGGATGGGAATTTTTTTTCTTTTACAGTCTTGTTTACAGTGTGATTGGAAGATTAACTTTAGTTCATATGCTACCTTTGTTTTAGCACAAGTTATTTTATACTCTGAAATTAGAACTGTTATGAAAGCAATTCAGGAGGTAGCTCTATTCTTGTAGCCATTTCTTCTCTGCTGAAGACCTACATTTGTCTTTGACATTAAGTATTTCGCTTGTCTTTAACATGCAAGGAGGAACAGGCCTCTGTCAGGTCTCACTTAAAAACACAAGTTGTGAATGACTTATTCATGTAAAAACACAGAAAAGGTTGTGCTTGTTCAACTTTTTTCTTTACCGTTTCAAGGCTTCCCAATCTTGAATCCTAAAGTGTTGGAAAATAATTTTTCCAATTTAAACCGTGCGGAAAACGTAGTTGCTGGTTAAATGTCAGAGGACATTTTGAGGCTTGTGTCCGTGAAAAACTTTTAGAATCCTTTTCTCATGTTGTTTTGTTCTTCAGCTTTGTTCTTCTCATGTTGTGGAAGAACAATATTTTACCAAGCAAGCAAGGCACATTCTACTTATTCTGGTCCCTTACAAAAAATCCCATGATTCCCATATGAATGGGAATCATATTCTTGCTGCAAGGCAGCAGTGCTACCCATTGCGCCACCAGATAGCCCGTTTTTTCCCCCATATTCTACTTAAAACAAATCCATTAAATTTCACATGTGATTCCCATTTTTCACATGTGGTTCCTGTCTTCAAGATGAAAAACCCAATGAATTTCCCATGGGATTCCCATCCTTCACACTTGATTTCAGTTTTCCACATAAAAATCGTGAGAATTTCACACACATCTGAGTCTCATCCTTTACATCATAATACCATGACTTTCACATGCGATTCCCATCTTTGAGATGCAATTTCCATTCCCATTTCACAATCCAACACCTTTTAACCAACCATAACCAGCTATTTAGGAAATTTCTCTAGCTGCTACAGTGTTGTTGTTGTTACCATTCTTCCCAAACCACTAAATTTGGTCTTTTTCAATGTGTTGGGATTTCAGATTCCAAGAAATTATCAAGCACCTAATTTCTCTTATGATTTATATGCAAAAATAAAAAAAGATAAATAGACAATAAACTAAGTACATGTAGTTCTTTTTTATAGCAAGAAGCAATGTGATGATACAGCTCTTCTTCATTCTGAATGTGTAAACTGTTAAACTCAGAAGAGACAATAATATGACATGGATTGAATGTTTGCAACCCAAAGACACAGAGGATATAATCACAACCAGGTCTGTACAAACGTAACAAAAATAATAAAGTAAATCCTCACCCTCCATCTCTGTCCCAGTCATAGACTTCCACCTTTATGCTCCTGTAGAGAAAAGAAAAGGAGCATAAAACAAGCTCATCACTTAAGATTTATCATCAGTTTAAAGAGCAAACAGCTGCTCTGTTGAAGGGTTTGTTATGTGAATGCGTTCCAATAAAGGAGTGGCTGAATGGTGGCATAATTATTAGATTATAATTATAAGAGATTAACTCATAATAGTAAGTAATCATTTGCTTTAAAGGTATTCTAATCGACTGGGGAGGATTCAAAAGTCTATCTACAGCAATGACAGTAAATAATAATCATCATTATGTTACACATGATTTCTTTTCATTTGTCATGGCCTACTTACCAAAACAGACTGTTAACAGGAATCTCACCACGTTGTTGACTGGAGAGACTCTTTAATAATGATTACGCAGAAGTAGAGCTATAAATCACAGCTTATTTCCAAATAGATCCATTAAGGCAAACTATGACTCATATTATTGCTTTAGAGCATAACTGCTGTAATCAGTCAAGCAGTGGACAGTCGTAAAATAGTGAAAGATATTAGCAGCACCAGCTAAAAAAAAAAAAAAAAAAAAAAGAATTTTAGCTTTCATGAATTAAATTATTGATGTATTACTGTAGAAGTAATTTTCTGGCTTTCCTCATTAAACCTAATTCATATTTTTTATCTGAATTATTCTGGAGAGGAAAGCTTAGAATGGATAAAGTCAGTATTCTGCCAAAAGAATAAATACTCATACAGTAAGAGCAGTTTTATAAAAAAAAAAAAAAAAAAAAAACATTGATATAATCTACTCTACATGCACATTTTAATGTTTTATGTATGTAGATTGACTTCCATAAGGTTGCCCAATATATCACAAGCATCAGTCCATGCTGCTTCTCTGCGGGAAACTGCCTGTGATTGGTCACTTTTTAGGAATGTGTCATGTCTTGATAGCTCATTCCATTCACCTGTTTAACTCTGCCCAGTTTCTCGTTACCACTTATCTTATCCACCTGTTTCCAGCTCCTATATATGCTGCTTGTTTTCAGCCTCCAGTGCCAGATTATTCAAGCTATTCAAGAGTAACTCTACCCATCAAGTAAGTGTGTCTGATATCCTGTATCTGACCTGCTTTTTGTCGGGGGATATTGGAGTTTTTTTGCCTTGCCCCTGTCTGCTGCAATTCCGATTTTTTTGTGAAATCCGATTTTTTTTCGTTGACGTTCATATTTTCAAATATATGCGACTTGTATGTGATCTCCTGAGTGAACTGCAGTCATTCAAGGAAAATGTCCCGCATGCGCAGTAGAGGACACAATGACGTTACAGGCCAGTGTGCTCTGTGCTTACGGAAGTAAACATGAATGGTAGTGCCGGTGTGCATCTAGCGGTCTTTTCCAACCATAAAAAACACAATCTTTTCAAGATGGTTAAACATAAATACTGCTCTCAGCATCATCGTCTGTCATGATTGTTGTTTTTCTTGCCGCTTCTTCATAGCAAGACCCAGAATAGTGACCTTTGGTTACTAATGACGTTCAGGTCGGATGAATGCGACCTGGCCGTTCAGACACAGGTCACATTTGAAAAGATCAGATTCGTATCGGATTCAGGACCACATAGCCGAGCGGCCTGGGTCGCATTGGAAAAAATGGGATCTGTGTTGCTTAAACTGTAATGAGAAGATCAGATCCAGGTCGCATATGGGCCAAAAAATCAGATTTGGGTCACTTCAGGCTGCAGAGTGAACGTAGCCTTTCTCTGACCTCGGCTTGGATTCTCTTTAAGGACTCTGTTGCTCCCTCGGCGTCAGCTGTCGTCAGCTCATCCTTACTCAGGGTGCTGGAAGCAGCTTCAGCTGCAAACGGAGGATAATCTGTCTCTCATCTGGGATCGGACTGGACTTTGAACCAGGTCAGTGACTTTTTGCTCATAGTCATAAGTAGCCCAACATTCCAGCCACTGACCTGTGTTTTCTACCTCTGCAGTGATTCCAGTTATTCGCCCCGCTGACGATCAGCTGCTTGCTGAGTTACTCTTACTCTTCACCCTGACCGTTTTTAATAGTACTTCGTATGATCGTTTTCGTACTTTACACTTTCATGAATGAGGGGGAAAATGTTGTTTGTAGACTGTTATAACGGTAGAGTGTAAAGCCAAATTTATGCTTCTGACGCATAGCCTCTGCAAATGTCAAATCTATCTCTGTTTGCAACCACGCCCCCCGCACAGAGGCTCTGCAACTGTCCTCGCGCACCTCAAAAAAATCCTGACTACCTGTGGGACAGTCGCAAACACACGCAGACCTCAAGCGGAAATTTGCAGACCAAAAGCAGCTGTGATTGGTCCTTGGTATGCCTTCCCGGTTGTCTGTGTGGTCGTCCTTCTCGATTCGGTGCGAAGCTAAGATGGTTTTCTATTGGTCTATATGGACGTAGCAACAACATTTTATTGGTCAAAGTAAAAGTCAAGAGTAAATGTTTGTAATCTGTTAAAGTCAAAGAATGTGATGTGTAACATTCAATTTAGAAAATGGTCTGAAAACAATTTTTGAAAATATAAATCCTGTAAACATAGAAAATAATTGAAAAAAGTAATTTAAAAAAGACAATGTTTTTAACAAATAAACAATGAGAAAAGAGCAATGTTATTCTAATAAGCCTTTTTCATTAAAACTTTTTTTCCATTACTGTATTTTTTAAATTTCCATTAAAAACAAAACAAAAGTTCTTTGCTGCAACAATAGTGGAACAAACCCACTCCATAAACATCTGTCTTGATTTACTGGAACTTTTATAACTTTATTTCTGGAAACTGATTTAAAATAAAATGGTCACTAAAGACTTTATTGGAAACTTGCCCTGGCATTTCTTATGAAAAAATCCTCAAGCTTCCTTTATTTCCACAGATTAGCTTTTTTCCCCCCATCATCTATACATGAGGAAACACTTCATTGTGTTTTTGACTTTTCTTGCAAGTTTCTGGGGATTTCATAAGCTCATTAATTTTATGTGTCAGGCCCCATCACCATCATGTCTGGATATTTGCTTTAGTTAGTATTCTAAATGCTAAAAGAGTCTGCTTTGGATCAGATTACATTAGGATTCAACCCAATTATCTGTAAACAATTCTTGTGGGTTTCTAGGATCCCTGCTGTGGGCGGTGTGTTGTACCTGTCGTAGTCTCCGTTACACAGCGCCCTGACAGGAATTTTAAAAGCCTGCCACACCGGGTCCAGGGTGTTCTTCACCACTTCTGTTTTGTGACAGATGGTGTAGCTGTGAAAAGTACAGGAGTGTTAATAGAGGCGGAAATAAAGAGGAATTTATAACCCCCAAATCATTGCTTTCTGTTTCATTTTCACTTTATTTTTGCCTTTTTTTTTGCGTCTATCTAAACTGGCTCTTTGTTACAACGCTGTGCTGTTGTTATACCCTGCAGCGCAGCATTTAAGCTGCATCAGTAGAAACCCAGCTGCTCTACAGAGAATGTGTTAAGTGTGAGATGCTCAAGTCGACTGTGATAACAAGCAACTGTAGGGCAAAAAAACAGTGACCTCCACACAAAGTTTTCACTTAATTCCATCTTATCCATCACTCCCCGCTTTGTTTTCCTCTTGTCAACTCTGTCCCATTTTATCCACTCATCTGCTGCTTCCTCATGATGCTGGACGGAGGGCATGTCACGTATACATCATCAAGCATTATGTGACATCACATAGACAAGTGGCTCTGCATAGGAGCTTCTGGAGCATGAGCAGCCGTGCTCAGGCTCTCTGTACGTTGTGCTGCTGTTTGCTCAAATGCTTCAAATTGTCATAGCGACATTTTCTCATTTCAAGAGGAGGAACAACGCTTATTGAACTTACGATCCGTCTTCATTGCTGCGGTAGAACACTAGAAATGGATCAGATTTTCCAAAGAAGTCCTTCTTATCCAACTTGTTGCCGCAAAACTGGAGCATCACTGACTCCTTGAATGGGAGAAATAAAACAAATAAATGTTAGAGAGCAGAAAAAAAAAGCATTAATGCAGAAATTCTTCATTTAAATGATAAGAAAGAAGGCCAGTAAAAAATAAGAATGTTTTCATGAGGAAATTATGGACTTATGAACCAGGATTGGGGGATATTAAGATATTAGATCACTGGAATGTGTTGACAATCTGCCAAAGCGGAGTGATTGGGATTTGTCTGCAGGGAAAGGCTGTTTAATATTAGAAAACCATGTGATGGCAACATCATTTTTATTTATTAAATTTTATTTGCACATTCTCTTTGCTCCTCTGTGGCTCATCCATCAATCCACTGCTTCCAACTCTCTTTTAGAGTGGTGACTAAGACTTTTAGTCACCATCAGCTGTTTAAGATGAGGAATTCCACTGCATTACATTCCAATCAGGCCCTATACAGTGCAACAGTACAGTGTTCAGGATTTTTTTCAATATATTGTTTGTTGTAATTGGGATACATTTCTTGCCACGATTACAATTTTCATTCATTGTCTAAAAAATAAATTGTGATTAATGATGTTTAAAAACACACATAGAAAATGGTTACATTATCCAATCCTATTTTAATGTTTTTTTTTCAATAGAGCAAGAGTTCCCAAATTAGGGGTCCAGATCCCAAGAGGGGGTCGCAATACCCAAGTTACTGGATCCCAAGGTGTTGCCCAAACTTACCTTCATCATGGACAACACCTCTTACCCCCTGCACCAACTGTGGAGGATCGGGAGCAGCTCCTTTAGTGAAAGATTTATACCCCTGTTTGGATTCATTCATCCCTGCTGCCATCAGGCTTTGCAATTTGGCACCATAACTGCAGTAACTTGTTCAATATATAACCTGCAATCACTATTTAATACTCTGTGCAATAAACTATTTTATATTTAATACCCAGAGCAATAACTATATATATATATATATATATATATATATATATATATATATATACCCTGTGCAATAACCCTGTATAATAATCCTGTTAAAAAACGGACTTCAGCAGTGTTTATATCATATATATATATATACCTCATGCACCTTGACTATTGAGCTGATGTAACAAGTAAAATTCTCCACTGTGAGATCAAAAAAAATCAATTAAGACAAGTGTAGGGTTATGAGATGTTGTTTTACAATCATTGTGATGTGATTCCAAAGGTATACAGAGGGCCAATATGTAAAAATTATTACAAAATACATACATATACATGTCCCATTAAATAAATATACCAGAAGTAAATGCAACATTTCTTTTGTGTGTATTTAATATATTATTCTGATATAAAATACATAATTGAATCCTCATTAAGGTAAATTAGTGATCCATTGAATAACTACAATTACATTTAGGTTAATAGATTAAATGATTAAATATTATTTTCAGTTATTTTTGGGATCAGAGGCTGAATTATTTGGGAACCCCCAGGTTTTCACTGGTCCAGTGAAGTGAGATAAAAGTATCTTAAAGACTGTAAAGTTGTATTCTTACCCTGCAGTTGCTGAGCTCCTCCGATCTAATTATGATGCTTCCACATTTCTTCCCTGGAATTCCACTGTAGGAAAAAAAGAAAACAGAACAGATACAGATAAACCCTCCAACATTCAAACCCTTGGTCGGGGTCAGATGTTTACATACACTCATTAAGTCTGACAAACAATCAGAGGTTTGTTATTTTCTATTTCAACTAGGCAGGAAAGTTCATATAAAATATAATTCAATCTGTTTAAAAAAAGATTTAGGTTAACAAGCTAGTCTGAATTATACCAACAGGCTTAAATGTATACATCCTTCCCCACTAATATTTGGAATTGACATTCTCATTGTCCTTTTAAATTAACCTTATTTTGATGAATTTTAATGGCAGAATAAGTAGATGCTTTTGTTTCCTGAAACAAATGGCCGGGCAGATACTCCAGAAGCTTTTGAGGGGAGTTAAAATCAAGGCTTAATGCCAACAAGTCTTATTCTTCCCATTTTGATGTGTTGGGGAATATTGACTTGTTAAAAACTACATGCTTTAAATAAAGTGACTGAAAGTATTAATTTCTATCCTTAAAGCCGGAAAAGGGTAGAGTGCCTTCTCCAGGTCAGGGGGGGTGTCCTGCCCCAAGTGGAGGAGTTTAAGTATCTTGGGATCTTGTTCACGAATGAGGGAAGAAGGGAGCGGGAGGTCGACAGGCGGATTGGTGCAGCGTCTGCCGTGAAGCGGGCGCTATACCTTTCCGTCGTGGTGAAGAGAGAGCTGAGTCAAAAAGCGATTTACCGGTCGATCTACGTTCCTACCCTCATCTATGGTCATGAACTCTGGGTCATGACCGAAAGAACGAGATCGCGGATACAAGCGGCCGAAATGGGTTTCCTCCGTAGGGTGGCTGGGCTCTCCCTTAGAGATAGGGTGAGAAGCTCAGTCATCCGGGAGGGACTCGGAGTAGAGCCGCTGCTCCTCCACGTCGAGAGGAGCCAGTTGAGGTGGCTTGGGCATCTGTTTAGGATGCCTCCTGGACGCCTCCCTGGTGAGGTGTTCCGGGCACGTCCCACCAGGGGGAGGCCCCGGGGAAGACCCAGGACACGCTAGAGAGACTATGTTTCTCGGCTGGCCTGGGAACGCCTTGGGGTTCCTCCTGAAGAGCTGGAAGAAGTGGCTGGGGAGAGGGAAGTCTGGGCCTCCCTTCTTAAGCTGCTGCCCCCGCGACCCGACCCCGGATAAGCGGAGGAAGATGGATGGATGGATGGATGGATATATATATAAATCAATGTCACAATTTCCACTTTTATCATTTTTATTTATTTTTACTGTTCCAAAATTTCAATTCATTTTTTTCTGTCTTTAATGTAAGGGTATGTAAACTTTAAAGCACAACTGTCCTGTGTGTTATAAATAAATGTATAACAGTATCTATTATGCATTTCGCCCTTTTTTTTTTTTTTTTTTTTTGCAGAATTCTGAAATTATAGCTTGATTATAAGACTATAAAAACAACGGACATCATGTAGTTTTAAATTCAAATCCTGACTTATCAAATAACTTTATTAAATAAGGCATCAAACCAGCCCATTACAGCAGTTCTATCTTCAGTTTTGGTCGATTTAGGCTTCCTCCACAGGACAAAAGCTCTATTGTTTTCCCTAAAGGAAGACATTATTTCCCATGAGGAGCAGCACATGGGGTGAACTACTTTTTTTTTTCCAGTGGCTGTTTGAAGGATAAATAACAATGAGGTAATGCAGTGAAACAGTTTCATAACACGATGTTGAAAATAAGAAACGTATAACTTTGATTTTGTGCCGTATTCCTGCAAAGAGCTCATCAGTCGCTGAAGAGTTTATAGCCGTGAAGCAGTGCACATTCGTAGTTGTTTTGTTTTGCAGGGTTTCTGCCACTGAAAAAAAGTTTTGAAAATATTTTATGAAGGTTGAAAAGTTAATTAGTGTTGGTTTAAAAGAAATAAAACACCTGCTCATTTGAAATCTCGAGAACCAACTACATGAATCCTAAAATATGAGGGACGTTTTTAACGACTTGTATCACTTCCACCTGCAAACAACATTTACAGAAAAAAATGGAACAAGCTACCAGAGGTCTGGGAGTGAAAAATCTGCTGATCAAATGCAATTTTCATTATTTGTTTTGCAGATGATATTCTTGTCATAAACACTATGAATTCATGGCAGCATTTTCTTGCCTTCCAAAACTGCTATGTAAATTGGGATCATTCATTATTCATGGTGTCTTCACCAGTGGTGCCGGTTAACCATGCCTTTTGCTCTAATGCACCTCCAAACGACACCATTACATCTTCTGAAGCATGTCCTTAGAAAAAACACCTCATAGGGTCCCTCTGCTCCTCAGAGGGAAGCAGGGACAATGGCTTCACTGACTTCTAAAAGGAATCCAATATGTTTTGATTTGCTCAGCCAATGCATAATTTCCCATAGAGAAGAGTTTCTGAGCTGCTAAAATGATTTCTACAGAAACCATGCTGGGTTTTGTGGAAAACCCATAACCTACAACTGATCACTGCTGGGTTCTGTTAATGTTTTATTTCACAAAAAGCAAACTTCTGATTCCTCAATGTGTTTCTGAGCCTTTTAGTAAACTGTTTATCTTAATCCAGGGTTCAAAATGTTGTAGTTTTAATCAGCTAGAAGATCACTTAGGATGCACAAGTTGCATGATTCTTGCTGACCACCAGTTCCTAAAAAGCCTAATGTAGCTATTCTGGGTTTGACTCATGAAGATTAATTATATAAATGGTGCCATTAGATTTTATAAGGTCATGCAAGACCATTGTATGGAGTGAATTTTGTTCCATTATTGTTGCAAGCAAAATAAATCATTTTTAAATTTAAAGAGGCATTACAGAGTTTCTAGTCATACTGCCACCTGTGGCCAAAACACAGAACTGCAACACTCTTCTGCTCGTTCTAGTAGCTCGCACCTGTACTTAACTTTTTTTTTTTCTTAACCTGGAGTTGGCATTGGTGTCTGAGTTGAGCTGGATGCTGGTCACTTCTGAGCATCCACATAATTCAACTTGAATATAACGCTTCTATTGTTTGCTAGGTTGGACACATGGAACCGTTTGACGTCACTTCCACTGAACAGCTACAACAATGTTGGAACTAAATTCACTCCATATATTAAGACTTAAATTGGCATACACATCAAATGGTTTGTGTGCTTGCATCATGCTTAGGGGATGCCTTTCATCAGAAAGACATGTAAGTAGGTCAGAGCTGATGGGGAAGACGTCTTGAATTAAATTCAAAAGAATCCCAGAACCCCAACATAAAAAGGAAAGGTTTAAAGCCAAATGTTAGAATGGGCCAGTTAAAGACACAAGCTGTTGTGACTAACCCTCAAAGAAAACGACACATCAGAGCCTCTGGATGTTCAAAGCTGGTAGAGAAATCCTCATGGCTGTATTTGATAGCAGATGGTGCTCCTTCTAAGAATTGAATTCTCGGGTCTAATAGGAAATAAACCATTTTTGAATTTTTGTTTGTTAAAAAAGAATATTAAAAACCGGTAGACATTTTTTGTTTTACTTCAGATTCATTCACATATTTTGTTTGTGTGTAAAGTGGAAAGGAAACAGCCACCCAAACCTTGCCTTGCCTTGGTATTATCATTAATTTAAAAAAATGAAATAAAAACAGACATTTCTGTTTGTTGGAAAACATAAGATTCAAGAATTTTCATCAGTTTTTAAAGTGGATTTATATGTTCAAATTAAGCTCAATAGCACAACAAAGACTACAGATTAAGAGGATGGTGATGATGACATGCTTGGATAAATTCTGTAATAGAGTCTATCACATCCTGTTCTTTGCACTGGTGGAATTTCTTTTTATGCAATTTTTATGAAAAGAATTAGTAAATATTGGTACATGCTCAAATGTTAAGAAAATTGAATCATAACAATTCATTTTGATTTAAAGTAGCCTTACGTTTTTCAGGTCGTTATGTTATTGTATGTTTTAAGCAGGCTCAGAAGGTCAGGCATTGGTCGTTAGTTGAAAAATATTTATTTTTTCTGTAAATACAATGTAGTCAAAATGCTCTAAGCAGCCTAAGCAGAGATGCTCAGACTTCCCGATCCATACACACCCTTCCTCCAGGTGCTCTGAGGGGATCCAGAGGCGACACCAAGCCAGCTCAGAGACATAGTCCCTCTAGCGTGTCCTGGGCTCTTACAAGGCCTCCTCCCGATAGGACATGGCTGGAACACCTCCTGAGGGATGCGACCAGGAACAGATGTCCGAGCCACCTCAGCCGGCTCCTTTCGACGTTGAGGAGGAACGACTCTACTCTGTGCTCTTCCTGGGTAACTGAGTTCCTCAGCCGATCTCAAAGGGTGCGCCCAGCCACCATGCGAAGGAAACTCATTTCGCCTACCTGTATTCAAGATCTTGTCCTTTCGGTCATTACCCAGATCTCATGACCATAGGTGAGGGAGGGGGACGTGGATCAATAGGTAAATCGAGAGCTTTGCCCCCTGACTCAGCTCCCTCTTCACCACGACAGTCCGATACAGCGACCACATCACTGCCGACGCCGCATCGATCCGTCTATGGATCTCATGCTCCATCCGCCCCTCACTCCTGAACAAGACCTCAAGATACTTGAACTCCTCCACTTGAGACAAGGACTCCCCGCCGACCTCAAGAAGGGGTGTCCTTTCTCCGGTGGAGAACTATGGCCTTGGATTTGGCACTTCTGGCACATTAGAGTGTGCATGCGAGTGTGTAATATTGTTATTATCTGACTACAGTGTTATTATGCTCCATTAACACACTAATTTTGTTATAATGTATTTGTTTAATGTTATATTACATGAGGTATAGACTTCATGGACTTCATTCTGGCTATGCAATGTGATATGCCTATTTTTTACCATAAATTACAGTAGTCTATAGATACTATAAAACAGGAAGTGATGATTTTATCTGTATTTTAATTCTTAAGCCCCCCTGAAAATGAGAAATCATAGTTTTTTGAAGCTGTAGCTCACGTATTTTTTACATTCTGACCGCTTCACTCTCACTTTA